ACTCTGAAATGCAACATAAAATGTTGATGATACTGTGAAAGGCACAATAATTTCTTCAATATTCTTCTTTTTACCTAAAATTGACTTTCTATTAGGTTTTCATATTTCTGCACCAAGATAGAAACTGTAATTTCTCTTTACTCTTCACAGAATTTGGAATGTTCCTTTTTCTTTATTAAATATGTCTTCTTTATATATAACTCCATTTGCCAGTAAGATTTCCACATTAAGAATGACAAAAGGTAAAAAAGTTACAGTTGATAATTATTGTCAAACTCAATTCTTTCATTTTTTTATTAATCCAATTCTTTGGGAAGAATATGCTTTCTCAATAGTTACTTGTTCTTCTATAAATACATAAGGATTTTTAAAGTCAGAATAATCTCACATTCATTAGAAAATCCCTTTAAACATCTGCATAGCTACTTTAAAACAAGAATTATAAACTTTTTAGACAAAAAGAATGAGAATACTTCATAAAACAATTCATTAAGTAGAGTAAAATTACTTTGTTGTTCCTGAGGAACAGGCTGACACCTCAAGTTTTAACCATAAATTTTCTTACCTATTTAAAAAAGAATTGCCACTAATTTTTTTCTATATTATGTAATTTTTCTTAAATCAGAGTAAGTTTTTGATACTGGAAACTAGAGGTATAATACTGTATTGCTTAGAACGCATCTACTAATGATCATTGCAAAGTTTGACTGTTGTGTGACTGCAACAGATTTTTTGGAGATTTAAACAGAGTACTTGAGGCTTGATGTATGGTGTGAAGACACCAGTTTAGCTTTGCATAAGAAGGGCTATAAAGGCTCAATAGAAGTGGAAGATATTCAAAGGCTACTGTATTCATGGAGGAGAGACATTATGGTAGCCTGGACCAGTGAAGGGGTGAGACATAAACACCATGTGTGTTTTGAGGAGAAAGCCACCAGGATTTCTGGGTCTGAGAGAGGAGAGCCAAATGTGAGCTTTTGATCTGCACATTTACAACTAGAACTAGTCAACCAGAACAGCCATTGATGGGCAGAGCAGCTTGGAATGTGGGACCAGAAAATCAGTGTTTGATCAACTGACTGTGGAGTTTGTAACTGGAGCCTGCAGTGGAGATAGAGCTTTGGGAATTCTTGATCTGTAAATGGTATTTAAAGGGGAATTACTGTAAAAGAAACCTACAGGGTAAGAATGCATATAATTGAAAAGAGATTGAACATTAAAATCATAATCATTAAATAAGAAAAGGAGGTGGAGAAAGAAAGGCCAGTGAGGTAGGAGTAAGTTAAGTGGGGTACAAATTTCAAGATGAACCACGAGGTCCCCAGTACTAAATGATTGCGATTATGTCTCATAAAATGAGAATCCAGTGCTGGATTTAGGTTTTCAGGGCACTCATGACTCTGATCAGCACTTTTAGCTTAGTAGAAGTAATGAATCCCTGACAGGGGTAAGTTATAGAGAAGAGGAAAAAAAAACAAAGAAAGTAAATTAATTCCCTTGGAAGGTCATGATATAAAGTACAGCAATATAATAGGGTGGCAGTGGGCAGGAGAAATGGATAGAGTCAAGACTTTTGTTGTTGTTGCTGCTGTTTTATTTTTAACTTAAGATGTGAGTATTTTTCATAGGATATAAGTACTCGTCCCAAGATTTAACATTTTGGTAAGAAACCACTGTGCAAACTATGCATGGTGGTGGTGAGCACCTTTAATTCCAGCACTCGGGCAGGCTGAGGCTGGAAAATCTCAAGTTCCAACCCATTCTGGACACTGTAGCAATTTAAGAAAATCTTGTCTCAAAATAAAAATTAGAAAAGGGCTGTGATATACGCACAGATAAATAAAAAGAAAGAAAAGAATAGGAAAGAAAAACTAAAAGAGCAGATAATGTATGTCATATTCTAGATAAGGAGTCATGATGATTCTGAAGTTAGTTCAACAGTTTTTCCAGTTATGGGACATGGATAAGTTAATTAAAATTCATAAACATGGAGTTCCTGATCTATACAAGGGGAATGACAATGTCTGCTTCATACTTTTGTTGCAAATTGGGATGGAATCATATAATTCAATGATGTAATATAATGATTAGAATATAAAATTCAAACTGTATGTTTATTATTTTTTTCAATATTTTATTTATTTATTCGGTACAGGGTCTCACTATACAGCTTAGACTCGCAGTGATCCTCCTGTCTCCGCCTCCCCAGTGCTGGGATTACAGGCATGCACCACCGTGCCTGGTTTTGGTGCCGGCACCATGTGCCTGGGGTTCCAGGTCCAGCAAAACATGTAGTATGAGGGATCGAACCCGAGTGCTTGCACTTGTCAGGCTGGTGCTTAGACTGCTGAGCTATCTCTCTAGTCCATGTGTCAATTATTATTATTATTATTATTTTTGTGGAATCGGGGATTGAACTCAGGACCTTGCGCTTGCCAGGGAAGCGCTTATTCCACTGAGCCATCTCCCCGGCCCCCATGTGTTAATTATTATTAAACCACAAAGTTTCAATCTTTAAATTTACAGCCTCATAATGAAATATACTTCTAATTATACTGCAGCAAGAACATATTAATAAGATATAAAATGAATGTCACAGGCACCCTACAAAATGGTAAATATGTTTAAAAGAAATAATTATTTTTCACACTTGAGCCCTCTTAAAGAAAGTGAATAGAAATATAGTTTTTCTGAAAAACTAATTCTTTTAAATTTATTATAGGATTTTTTTCTCTGTGAAATTGATTTTAGAATTAGTTTGCTTGCTTGAATTATCTATGTGATAGCATGAATCTTTGAGTTGAAAATGAATCCAATATTTTTAAATAACCAAGAATAATTTTTAGTTAAATCAGAAGAGTAATTTTAGCAATTGAGCTGGCTTATCACATTGTGTTTTATTTTTTGAGACAGGGTTTAGCTAGATAATTTAGTAGTTTAAGCTGACCTTGAATTCATTACGTGGCTCAGGCTGACCTCAAACTCACTCAATCCTCTTGCCTCAGTCTCCTGGATGCTGGGATTACAGGTGTGAAACCCTGTGCTCTGTTAATTTTTTTAAAGGGAAATATATGTTATCTAACTTTCATGAATTTGCCCACTAATATTCACTTGAGTTTTACTCTGTCTTGTGAGCTGTTTTGGCAGCTGAGAAATGAATGATTTTTTTTAAAAAAATAATTTTTGTATCATTTTTAAAAGCAGACAAATAAAAACAAACATATCCAGTAAGTTACTTTTAGAAAGAAGTTCAAGGTTTAGACCGGAAAATGAAAGAAAGGAGGACAACATCGTGATACAGAAAGCGTTTATAGAGGAAATGGAAGTGGGCATGCAGAATTGCTGTGTTTCTAACACTTCCCAATGTGAGCACGCAGAATTGCTGTGTTTCTAACACTTTGGAGACTTTGACACATGTGGGATTTGTTACATAGATAGTACGCAGATTAGGTGCAGGGGAAGGGAGTGGGGCTATTACTACAAATGAAAATACCAATAAGTAGGACCAAACTGTAGAGAGCTTTGTGCTCTATGTTGATTAGTTCTTTGCCTTATAAGAATTTTACAAGCAGAAAAGAACCTATAATGAAGGTAAGAGGATATTATAATTGATGTCAGGCCTTGTTCAAAGGAATTAAGAACCTTAAGGAAAGAAGGGTACATGGAGATGGTAAAGGTTGTGGAACAAAGAGGGATTGGTTTGGGGTGGGAAGGACCATGATGTATGTGGAAGAGTAGGTCACAGGCCATGTGCCAGCCATCTCCCCCGAATGTGGTGACAGCAGAGGAGGTTAACTAGTGCTGTCCTAACACAGTCCCGTGACTCGTAGGACTCTGATGCCTACTTTCAATGATAAAGCATGAAACTTGGAGCCAAGTTGTCTTTCAAGAAAGCCAGGTCTTCTGACAGAGTTGAAGGAGACTGTAAGGGAAATTTTCTTTCAGCTGCATTAGAATAACACTGGTTATTCCTCATCAGACAAGTAGTGGAGACCAGGGAGAAAGGTCTAGAAAAGAATCAGTAGAGGAGCCATTGGAGTGACAAGAAAAAGCACTGGTAAGTATGACAGTGCCATGCATGGGGCACAAGTCCCCTGAGATTCAGAGTGAGGACAGAATTGAGCTGGGTAGAGGGAGCTCGGTGGAGGTAAGTACAGAGATAGTGCTAAGAGTGTTCTTGACAACTTTGTTTTAATTGATCTCCACAGAAGGAAGAAAAGGGAGCAGTCATTTCCAGTAAACCAAAAATTTATACAATATATGGATGTTTATTGCTAAAGAGCTTATAGCAAACATGTAATTGACTTGCATGAGAAAGTAGAAACTATGTATGTTACTAGGTGATTTCTCTCTTCCATGTTGTATGTGGACTCTGCTCCCTAAATGAAATACAGATAATCTCTGATATCTAGAGGCTGTGAATTATCAATAACTCCTTTTCCAATTTCTTTGTTACTCAATCCAATAGTATAGATTGAATAGTTGTCTAGGCTTTTGAATGAACTTTTTAACCTGTTGAATTAATAGCCACTTACCTATTAGCACTAGCATATTCATCACAGTCATGTATCAAATCAACCAGTAACATTTTTAATCACTACCATTGCTTTAAAAAGGAGAAAAAAACTGGGATGAGGAAAAGGATAAATGAAAGAAGGTGAAAAATATATTTAGGTGTATATGCAGAATAGTTTGGATAACTGTTGATTTCTTTTGAAAGGAGCAGTTCATGCTTTTTTCCTCTTATTTGTTTTATTTTTTTCTTTAAATGAATCTTACACATTTACATAAGGTAATCTGAACAACTAATTTAAAGATAGTATCATGTAATACAGCAACCATTTTTGCATTCTTACTACTTTGCTGAAATTTTGCATTGTTTCTAATGGTTTTTTTCCTATCACTCTTTTGTATTCTTTAAAAACAAAAAATAATACAAAGGAGAAAAAATCTTATTTTTACTAGAAAAATGATCCAGCTAGAATAACGATCAAACTTACGTTTCATTCCAATTGACCAAGGAAAAAAATAACTTTTTGGCAGGAATATTTCTGTAGCTTCTCACTTGGCACAACTTCTTCCCAGCATATGTAAGCCAACAAGAAAACAGAAATGCTTTATAGCTGAAAGAAATGATATTGATTCAGTAAACTTAACACATTGAAGGAAATAGCTTTCTAAATGGGTCAATTATTTTTATCGTCAAAAGTCAAATGATAAAGTCATGTTTGCTTGTGTAAAGCATGCTTTACAAGTTGCTTTAAAGACTTATATTGAGCACATTAGCAAGACTGCAGAATAGGAAGCACCAAGACCCTCCTTTGTCCATGGCGACACCAACTCAACAATACATGATTAATTCCTCTTGTGGGAAATCCAGAAGGCCGTGAAGAGGCGCCTCTACTTTAGTGGAGTGCAAAGCCAGACACATCCAGGCTGGCATGAAATTCATGGTGTCACTCACTTGCCACCTTCCCCCTGGCACATTGCAGAATAGTGGAGAAAATCCCAGTTCCTGGCTTTGCCCTGGTGACAGAAAAGACTGGAACATCTGTCTAACTTCAGTATGCAGGGCAGTGGTTTTCATTTCTCTTGCAACTTGGTTTTCCCAGGAAGAGGACTCTGGTGAGGGTGCTGAGGGCCAAGACACTGGTTTGAACTGGTAGATCTCAGTAGCAATCGCCTTTCTCCCAACTCAGCACAGAATGAATGGGAAAAAGCCCAACTCCCAGACTCTTTGACTTTTCAACTTATTGAAAAATACATGTTTGAATTTGTATCTACCTATGTGTATCTCATTCTTGATCTTTAATATAGTCATGTTGTAGAAAGTGGATGAAATATATATTTATAGATGTTTCTAATTTGTTTGGGCTCACATTATGATACAATTTTTGGTTGCTTAAAATACATGTTCTCCATTGAAAATAACTTGTCCTTTCAAATTATTTCCAGTAGAATACATGATACATATTTATTAGCTCAAGTTTGTTAATTGGTCAAATTTGTTAATCCTCTTCCATATATATCCTGATAAGTTTCATTAATTTATTAATCTCAGAAATGTTGATATCACCTACTATGATAGTAGCCCATCATTTTCTCTTTCACTTCTATCATTAAAAAAAATCCTCTTCATTCTTACTGTGATTTATGTATTTTACTACTGGGTCATGATTTTATATTTAGCAATGCTTTTGGACTTAAACTCCATTATGTTAGTTTAAATACCAATATTTGGTTGCTGTGAGCATAGTGTCTAATATAAGAGGTATTGTACTTGCCTTCCACACATTCCTTTGCATGGTTATGTCACAGGTTACGTTTATCTATGAAACTCGAGAGAGATGAATGAAAGATAACCCCGGACTGTACGTTTGTGTTTTTGATGGCAAATTGTGACTGTTAAGATTTGATGTTAACTGACTTGGAAGCTTCCCAGGGACTCAGTAAGACACAGTTCTGTGTATGTTTGGAGGGACCATGGATGCATGATGTTGGACTCTGTGTCTGATACCTGGTCCTTTCGCCTCTGGCACCCTTCCCCTCAACTCTGCTTCCCAGCAACCATGAAATGAGCAGGTTTGCTCCAACCTGCCCTTCTGCCATGATGTTTCTACTTTGGAGCCAGTGACATGAACTGAACCCTCAGCAACCTGGAGACAAATTGAAGTTCTCTCCCTTTGAATGGTAGGTGTCAACAAGAAAGTTATTATGTAAAGATTTATGGAAATCTTCATCATAAAGAAAAGCTTCTCTTGATGAGAAAGAATTCCATCTTGTCCATATGTTCACAGCCCTTATAACTAAAAATGTCAATATATGCCTAGCATATATTTCTGTTATTATTACACATTTATGAACAATGATATTTGCATCCTATTTATCCTAACTTGACATTATAATTTATGAGCTATTTAAGGGATTTTTAAAAACTAATTTTCATTGACTTTTTAATATAACTTCCCAATAAAATGTGGTTTTGTTCTGCTCTCATTCATGTTAAGAATATATTTTACAATTGCTAATCAATTGCTCTTCTACTGCCACTAATAACTCTGGTGTTACTTTTACAGACTCTGGGCTATTGGTCCCAAAGCCCATGTATGTACCTCAGCTAGAAGACCTTCTTTAAAACTCTTGTGTGTCTTCTTTTCCATTTGTCACTTCTTCAGAGGTTCCATCTGAGCTCCTATTTCTGTCCTTGTCAATAAATTGACATGGCCTAAGTATTCCTTCTCTCAGCCCCTTGTAACAATCTCAAACAAAGCCTGACTCCCTCCTCTATTCAAGGGAGTTTATTTCAACAGTTTTAATAAGTCTTTACAGAGCATGGTTTATGTACTTGGAAATAATTTGGCTAGTAAAGGTTAAAAAAATACAGTACTACACACACATGTGCATTGACATTTGAACATTATGAATGGGATATGAGGAGAAACAGATGATGTGCATTTTTTAAGACAATGAGCACCGTGAAATATAAACATGAAAGGAGAAATTTATCTCATCATGGAGTACAATAATCTTTCAATCTGTAGTGATCAAAAAGCTAAAAAATAATTTCAATACTATGAGAAATTCAGGTTCAGTATGAATGGGTTCTTAATTGCTACAATGAATCATGGAAAGGATTTGTTTAATCAAGTGACCATAAGTAAGATTTGTCTTCATTTTTCTTTGATAGCATGTGGAGGGTTTTTTCTGAAGGCAGACTCATGAAGCAGTCATAATTTAGTTGGAAATTCATGAACTATTTCTTATTTTAAAGTTCTGTGACTTAAAGTATGAATGTAATTCACTGCCATTAGGTCTACTCATTGTAGGTAAATCCAGAGAAAAATTTGTCGCATTATTATCTTTTGTGCCTGATTTGTTAGTACGTATGTTTCTGGAGATCTGGCTGCAGTTTTCTCTAGAAGTTCCTTCCCAGATGTGGCAGCCCACTTGCAGGATGGTTTCCAGTGATCCTCACCCCTCATTTTCAAACCATGGTACCATGGTATCCCACAAGACACCAGTGTGGCAGAAACAATTGTTTATCCCTTCTAAGGTCAGGTTATACAGTACTCCCTCTTTCTCCTTGATGTTCTCTTGCTCATGATGGCTATTGGCTTGGGAAGGCCAACTCCTGCTTCTTGAGGACACTCATAAGTCATTTCTGTGGCCAGGAATTGAGGTTCCAAAGCCTACCCATTGTGAAGAGCTGGGAAATGCTGACAAGCTTGCTGGTGACCTTTGAAGTGAACTCTTCTCGGAGAATCTTGAGGTGACGGTAAGTAAATAGTATGGTGGCAAATCCTCAGAAGCCTCGAGCCAGGTAGTCATTGAAACTGCTCTCCAGGGTCCTGACCCTCACAAGGTGAGCTCATCTGTGTTTGCTCTGCTGTGCTGCTAAATTTGGGCTGATCTATTTACACCAATCTACAGTTAGGTTCCTAGGGAAACCTACATTAAGGATACAGTCTGCCACCAGGTCTGACATCTCATGGAGACCTTTCTCCTGAACTTGTAAGGTTGATTGGTGGATGGATTCTTTAAGAGAATAGTGGTGTCCTTTCTTTTGGTCTCCATGCTCGGTTGTACTTTGTTCCTCTAAGAAATGACAAGTATAATTTTATTTTTCCCATCAATGCCCTCATTGATCATAGATACTTTCAAATAAAATCCCTATTTTGTATTTGTAATTTTATATATATAAGTACAGATCTGCCTCTGTTGTTAATAAATGTTTGAAATGTTCTCAGTATTTTTATTTGGCATACAGGAATTATGTAGAGAAATATGAAAAAGGAGAGGTGGAAAGATAGATTATATTTATACAAATACAGACTGCAATTTAAATATGCTCAAACATATTATAGTTACAAATAATTTATGTATATATATAATATAGATACACTTATTTATCTATACACACACACATATATATATATATATACACACGTATGTGTGTGTTCTATGCATATAGCTTTATCTGTATTTACCTAGTTACAAAGGTTTTTCCATGTGAACTAAAATTAAGGAATGCATATTTATGACTAGAAAACTATAAAAAAAAAACCCACTCATTAGAGTGGCAATTCATTATAGTATATATCAGCTTTTTAAAATTTATCATAAAGTTAAAAAAATGTATAAAACTACCATATCATGGATTCTGAAAAGAACTGGGTATAGTACTGTTTAATAGGTAAGATTTCCTTTTAACTAATAAATATTTATGCAGTCTCAAATATTCACGAAACTAAAATTATTTATCTTTACTGAAACATTTTTAGTTTTTTTTGAGATGTCAAATGCAATGGACACAGTATATTCATTAACCAATATATTTACTATTCTCCTATCAACTTTGATCAGTATCATCTTACAGATGTAACCTACAAGAAATTAAAATTTTTGGGTTACCTTGCAGTGTCAACTCACCCTGTCAGTGATTTCCATGTGTAACTGTAATTCCCTTTTCTTTCAACTGCAGAAATTCTTGACTGATTTTACTGATTCAGAGTACTCATGAAATACATACCATTATAATTTGTGCGATTTGGGGTGAAGATTTTCCCGCCTATTGGTTTGTTTGTTTATTTATTTGCTTATTTATTTATATGTATTTGTACAGGGTCTCACTACACAGCTCAAACTCATAGCGTTTCTCCTTTTTTCTGTCTCTCAAGTGCTGAGATTACAGGTGTGTGTCACCATGCCTGGTCTCAGTGGCTGTCTCAGTGTGCCTGGGGGTGAGTCTGGAGCAGCATGTGGTGCCGGGGATTGAACCCTGCTCCCTGTGCTTGCCTAAGCAGGCACTTAGTCCGCTGGGCTATCTCACTGGCCCTTCCCCTTATTTTTAAAAGTTCTTCATCTCTCTGTACATGTATGCTCTCTCTCTTTCTCCCCTCATTGCCTTTATTTTTCTTTCACTAAATAACATTAGTCAATTAAATCTAAATAAGAAAAGCAAAATTTTAGGACAGCCACTACACAGCATGAGTTTTTGGTATTCCTTCAATGTTATATGCCCCATAGCAATCAGTTTTTATACAGAGCATGGAAGAAAGAAATGAGGCAGGGAAGAGGGACTGAAGGGAGAGTATGGGATTGAGAAAAAAATTTAAGTTAAATCACGTATAAGTACAAATTTTCTATAATGAATATGATCATTATGTCTCCCTTTTTTGTGTATTTAGTACAGGGCCTACAGGGTCTCACCACACAGATTGGACTCAAAGTGATTCTTCTATTTTCAGCCTCCCAAGCGCTGGAATTACAGGCACGTGCCACCACACCCAATTTGAATACGAACATTATGCCCTAATGAAATTAATTAATTTAAAACATTCATTACAGGGCCAGGTAGATAGCTCCATGGTCCTAGCACCTTCCTGTGAAGCATGAGGACCTGGGTTTGATCCCCAGAACCACAAACCATGCAGGCCCCCATGGTGTATCAGCCACCAAAACTGGACATGGTGGCACACACGTGTATCCCAGAACTGGGGAGGCTGAGACAGGAGGATTGTTACAAGTCCAAGCTGTGCAGTGAGACCCTGTACCAAACATATAAACAAATCCATTTGAAATCTGAAGTATTAAATGGTGGTTTTAAGAAATTTCAAAACTTTTATGAAATACTTGTTCCTGAAAATGAGTACCATACAATTAACATTGAGTCTGACTACATGAAAAGTAATTAATCATCCTGGGAGAGTCCCCCTTACCTGTCCGCCCATGTCTCTGGGATGTTGTGCACTGCATACACTGTGAAGCTAAGATGGGCATGGAGCCCAGGGTGCACGGAGGAGATGCTTCGGGGTGCATCAAGGGGCTGGAAGTCTGCATAGAAGCTGCTGCAATAGATGTCAAGTAGCCGGCACATGGACAAGGATAGTTCAGTTGTCACTTTCTCTACAAAGCCTAAGGGAGAAAAAGAGATCAGGAAGTCTGCAAAGGACCAGATTTATCATAAGCTATCCATTATGTATTTGCAATTCATTATGATAAAATTTAATGAAAATGACCCTTTACCACCCAATGCCAACAAGCCACCTGGGCCTCTGCATGCAGTCTGGCTTACGAAAAGCATTTTAAATACCAATATACTTACGTATTTTCATTGGAAAATTTGAAAGTATGCTTGATGGTTGAAAGCTTGGAATACTAGAGATTAAAAATGTCAGCTCCTACCAGCCTATTTTTGCCTTACCTGCCACTACTGAGAAGCCACTGGACAAGGGAATAGTGAAGTATCCTCTTCTGTGGGACACTGGCCATCACCATGGTCATGATCAGGTAGGGCTTACTTTCCAGTTAAGTGCTACTTTCAGGGAAACCCAGTCTTATAGTAACTTGTCATGAGGAAGAAAGATAACTAAGTATAGCGGCTAGCAGTTCTCCCCTAGTAGCTGAGGAGACGTTACAAGAGCAAATACATCATTTGCTATTATGTTCTTGAAATATGCTGGGAACGGTTCAATGTATGCTGACCCAAGTCAGTAGGCACTGTTATTTATTCAAGTGCATGCAACTTCCTCGAGCTGTGTTTCTGAAACCTAAGTTGCTTTTTTGGTTCCCAGTTGCTTTGACAAGAAAATGGTACTGAGAGCCAGCTTTCCTCCCCTCGGTCCTCTGCAGCTATCTCGGGGAGGTCTGCAGGTGGCAGCTGAAGCCATGGTCTGCTGGGAGCTTCTTGGCACACCAGTTCCTCAACAGTTCTATCAACAGTTAAATATTTTGGTTCAACCCGTGCTATTATTCACTTAGTTGTTCATAAATTTCAGCAAGATTTATGAGATAAACAGATTTTACTTATTTGCTAGATTTCTGAAGTTCTGCCCTTTGTTGAAACAGCCTGGTGGGGGAGGAAGTTGAAAGACCTCTAATTACAGTCACTGAGAAATCAACAGAGGCAATTAATGAAGCAGAGAGGAAATGGCATAAAAATAATTTTAAAATATATCTCTGGGGGCCAATCAATAGGGATTTTCCACAGGAGGGAAAATATTATAAATTCATGAAAATATCTTGTTTCCTGGTGCCCAAAATATATGCTGGTTCTCTGAACCAGGGAGCATAAATTTTGATCAGTAATCCCTAGTCTTGTGCAAAAGAGCCCTTGAAAACCCATCTAAAATATATTATGTGAGGGCCAGACAAATAGCTCAGCGGATTAAAGCACCTGCAAGCAGACACAGGGGCCAGGGGTTGGATCCCAGGGCCTGCTGTGCCGGCCCCACCCCCTCTATACAGGAGTCTCCCTGCATAGATCAGATGCATAATGATCCTCCTGTTTACAGCCTCCCCAAGAGCTGGGATTACAGGTTTGCGCCACCATGCCCAGGCTCAATCACCCTCTCCCCACCTGCCCCCAATTTTTTTTTTCAGAACCAGGAATTGAACTCAAGACCTTGCGCTTGCCAGGCAAGTGCTTATTCTATTGAGCCATCTCCCCGGCCTCCCCCCAAAATTTTTTTAATTCAAGGCCCTTCATGTGTTTTGGGGAATTCCCAAAGACAACTTTTAGTTATCAAATTTTTGCCTTCCTTGAGAATGCTTACAGATATGTGCTTATGCTTTATACTTTGTTTGCAGAACTTTTGATGAAGAAATAGTTCATGCAACAACAACAAAACCTATTAAGTATTCAAGATGCATGGGCTAGAAATATGTTGAAATGATGTTTATCACATCTGCTTTTATTCTAAAAAATAATTATTGCCCCATGAAATAAATCTGTCTTGCTCTATCTAATTAAAATATACTAATTAGAATAGGTTGTGATTTCCACAGAATAGAAGTCTCCAGGAATACTCCTGTACATTTTTAGAGAACTTCATGCTGTAACTCCTTGGAAAATGATGGGAATAGGAGACTTCTTTAAAACACTCCTGGTAATAAAAATAAGTCAGACACAGAAGTCCAAATATTTCATGGTTTTGCATGTATGAGAAATAATCTATATCTATCATCTATCTATCTATCTATCTATCTATCTATCTATCTATCTATCTCTATCTAGGTACAGATTTGATATACAGATTGATACACAGGAACAGAATACAAGAGAAATAAATAAGAAGTAATGAGGTTTGTATACTTTCCCAAATTACATATTTAAAAGTATTTCATTGTATATGCCAATTTATTTATGCTACCAGTTTATCTTAGTCCATTAAAAAGAATATTCTGTGTCATTATCTATTTGGTTATTTGCTATAAGAATCCTTTTAGTTTATGCCTTCCTCTCTACTTTGAAGATAGCACATGGAGTATTAACTATTGTTATTCTCCTATTATTTTGTTATGAAATTTTGTTTTACATTTTCTTCAATACATTCCAAGTAAGAAAGAAAGGCAAACAAGTTCCACATCTGCACACATCCAGCTGTCTACTCCAGGGGCAGACTCTTGCTGGGAACACTGACAGGGATGCTGCCATCCTCCTAGCTCTGTATGGTACTCCAAAGGGTCCTGAATCCCTATAATAGTCACTGACGCACTAAGGTGGGTTGCTTTTAGCATATTCTCTGCATTCTGTTATCTTCCATGATGGGAGATGGAGGACTTCCATAAATGTAATCAGGTACCCTCTTTCCTCAAAGTGGTGAGAACTAGAATCAAGAAGACATCCTTCCCTCCATACACATTTGGTTGCCATAGTTCCCTCTGCATGTAGTGTGTTAGGTCAGTGTCAGGAACCAGTCTCTGCCTCTTGGGCAGACAAGAGCAGCGCTGACCACAGCCTATGCATGAAATGCTATCTCATCTTTCATGCTCGTTGGGAAAGCCGGAGATTAAAGAACTGGGACTGGGATCATGACATTAAGACATAACCAGTTGAGATCTAAGACCAGTTCTGCCTGATTTGAAGTTGGGGTCCCTCTGCATTACACACCCACTATGGAAGCAAATTCCTCCCGTAGTTTGCATTTTTTACAAGCCCAGAGTCCCTGTAAACACTAATTACTTCAGGATGTAATCCTCCTACCTATTATATAAATTGATTCCTGCAAACAAAGCTTAAAGTGGAATTAGTGACTTCAGAGACTAACATTTGTTACTTTTTTGATTTATTTTTACATCACAGTATAATCAGGTTAGTAGTAAAATTTTACAATGTTGGGATGGTTATTAGGATCCTTTTAATGTTTGTTTAGTTTTTATAGATCTCTTGACTTTTCTAATTTTATAAAATGCATCATGATAAAAGTTTAGAGAATGTGGCTTTTTATTTCCTTACATAATAATCACTTTCTTAGTAAAAAGGGTTTTAGTAAAGCATTTTTCCCCTTCATGAACAAAATATTTTGTGTGTGGGCACATTTCCATAGTATTTTGCTGAAACACTGAAAGGGTTATTTGATTTTATACAACTAAATTTTTTCTCTGTAGTTGCGAACATGTGTGTCTTACCTTTTATTGAAGTCGCTGCACTCTGATGAACATTCTGAAAAAATATGGATACAAAAATATATTCAGATAACACATTTGCAAAATAATCCAAGGAGGTATTTCCAAAATTTAAACACTAAAATTTCTTTCAGATGAGAAAAACAAACATTTCTTAACATCATCATATATCTGTGTTGATTATCAAATATAGAAAAAAATCTAAATTACCAGATGGGAAAGAAAAATCCTCTGAATACTGCAGAGGAAACTGTGGGTGTTGTGATTTTTATAAAAACAAAATTGTAAGAGCAGGTTCAGCCTTTTCATGGTTATTGAAATATTTATATAGAAACTATCCTAGCTGCAGTCTCATTTGTGTAGCAGTAACTAATATTCTCTCTACATAGTGTGTCTGTTTCTTATTATTAGCAGTTACTCAGATTTGGCCAACACCAAAAAAATAAAGAAAGGACTGACTACATAGTTCAAGTTTTTCTTTCTTCTTTTCCTTTGATTGGAGAATTGATACTATTTACAATACTATACTATTTACATTGGTATCAATAGTCAATGGCATTGATACTATTTATAATAGTGTTACTGTACTATGGTACTATTGATACTTTTTATAATAGTATGAAGAGAATTATTTCTGATAGATATTGACTTATTCCTGTCGTTATCTTTTTTTCTTTGCTGATTCCCTTTGTTTTTTGCCTATGTAACTTCTTACTCCACATAGTATATTCATTTATGAGAATTTTCATCATTGTTAGGTTGCTTGTCTTTCCAGGATATCCTTGAGAGTTTTTTGAAGTGCATTTTGCAGATTGTGAATTTCTGTAGGTGCTTTTTATTTCTCCATCAGTTTTGAAACATTCTTTCACAAGATTAATCAGACGAGGTAGAAAATTGTTTCCTGTTAGAAACACTCCACTTCAAGATATCTTGGTCTTTAAGGTTTGTGTGGACATGTCTTCAGTAATTCTAATGGATTTATCTCTATAAGTGATTCATTGCTTTTCTCAAGATTTTTATCTTTATCTTTTTCTTTTTTCTTTGGGAACTAGGAAGCAAACTCAGGACTGTGTTTGCGAGGCAGGCTCTTGAGCTGCTGAGCTACATCTCCAAAGCTTGCTGCTTTTCTCTAATCACTTTTAAGATTTTAGTCTTAAAAGTGCTGCGGTTCAGGATTTAACTATGGCATGTTGTGGAGAATTTCTTTCTGGCTTGTGGCTACTCAGTGTTCTATATGTATCCCTTTATCCTTATGTTACTTTTTCTCTTATTCAGAAGCTTTTCCCCTTTTATGTCTGTAAATGGGCATGTTCTTGCTCTAGGTACATGATTAGCCCTCTGGTCTCTGCCCAAGGTAGGCTGCAGGGTGTTGCTCAAGTGGACGGTAGGACTTCAGGTGATATTTCCGAGCTCTGGTCGCTTCCTAGAGAGGACCTGCATCCTTCCCAGCCTGAGCTTACACTCCCCTGGGGCTCTCTCTCTGGCCCACTTCCTCTCCATGTGGTCACCTGGTTGTCTCTCACCCGGTCACTTAGGGTTGACGCTGAAGTCCCTGACCTTCCTGGCCAGATCTATTCTCTTTCCCGGGTCTGCTGGTTTTCTGGGCTCACCTTCCTCCCCAGGCACTGTCCTCATCCCAAATGAGGTCGCCTGGTCAGTCCACTCCTCTACTGCCCGAGTTCACTGGGAAGCAAAATGCAGCACCACCTTGGAGCTGATGGACGGCTGCACCCTTGCACCATGGCGAGAGATTGCTGCACGTGGGGTGTGGATCTGTGCGCTTATGTTTTTACTTTTATCTTTGTTGGAAGCCCAGAAGTACTCTGGTGGTTTAGGCTTTGCTGGCTACAACTTCATTATTATGAAACTTTATACAAAGTGACCAACACATTCGCTAAAAATAAAGTTTCAGCCTTAAGAAAATTCAATTTTCTGAAAAGATTTCTTTTGATATAAAAATTTTAAAAATTAAAAAATATTATTCTTGCTTTGATATAGGTTCTCTCTGTTTTTTTTTTTTTTTTTTCCCAGCTGGTTTCAATCTTCTGGGCTCAAGTGATTCTCTTGCTTCTGAATAACAGACTATAAGTCTATGCCTCCACTCCTGTCACTATTTTCTTTAATTAAGATTGTTAAAGGTGTTTTTTTTTTTTTTCGGAACCAGTGATTGAACTCAGGCCCTTGTGTTTGCCAGGGAAGCACTTAAGCTACTGAGCCATCTCCCTGGCCCAAAGTTTGTTTTTTTTTTTTTTTTAAATCCAAATAATTAAAAACCAGATTTCTGCAGGGCATGGAGGTATATACCTGTAATCTCAGCACTCATAAAGCTAAGGCAAGAGGATTGCTTCAAGCTCAATGCCACCCTGGCTTACAGAGTGAGTTCAAGGGCAGCCTGACCTGCAGAGGGAGGCCCTGTCTCAAAAAGAATAAGTAAATAAATAAGTACTAAATGATAAAAAAACAGACTTTTAAAACAAAAAACCTAGGTAATAATTGTTTTCCTGTGTCAAACAAAGAGCATGCTATATTATTCATTTAGAGATGGGAAATTTCCAGCACTTTGAAACTATCATTAAATTTACATGTAACTTCACTTGAAAGTATAATTCATATGAATCTTCTCAGAAGTGTTTCTATTAGGCAAAATATTTCACCCAAGTACATCATCAACCACCAGTCTTAATGACTACACATAAGATCCTCACTCCATCCATATGGGGGAGACTATTAAAGATTTTAGCTCGCTTTAACTAGACTTCAATTTATTCAGAAATTCAGACTTGTATTATAAAATCACCATGACATCCACCTACACCACCAAGTAAAAGAAGATTTTTTTCACTTTGTGGTTTCTTTTTTTGTGTGAATGTTTAATGGAAATATATTAGGTGAGCTTCAAGAATAAGATTTGAAGCATAGAAAATTATTTCCAGTGCTAAGTGGGAACATGGAATGGAGAGTAACTGCATTTGTGATATAATTTTTCATCTTGCCAAAACTTACATTTAATAAAGACCTAATTACTTCCTTGAATGGCAAAAAATAATCTCTTACAAAGTGACCAAAACTGCAGCCAACGGAAAAGGAAGCTCCTCAAATTTCAGAGTTTGTTGGCAGACGACCTGCAATTCTCAGTATTTCTTTAATCTTAGGTTTGTCGTGGGTAGATGGATTTAATTATTTTGGCATTGTTAGCTACAGCTGGTTACTGCACAAATTCTATAACATGTACTGATTAATTGGGCCAGTATTCTTATATAAGTATGTTCAAAACTAAGAGAAGATGGAAAAGATATGAACAAAAAATATGCATGTGAAAGATGGTGCAGAATAAGGCCAGTGAGATAGCTCAGTGGGCTAAGTGGCTACTTTGGTAAGTGCGGGGACCAAAGTTTGATCCCCAGTCCAACATGCCATGCGAGCCCCTCCCCCAGGGCACTCAGAGCCAGTGACAGGTTGCCAGAGACCAGGTGTGGTGGCACAAGCCTATAATCCTAGCATTGGGGAGGCTGAAAACAGGAGGATAACCATGAGTCCGATCTGCGTAGTGAGACCCTATACCAAATACACACACACACACACACACACACACACACACACACACACACACACACAAAGATGATACAGAATAAGTGAATTTTCAAAGCCTATTGAAAATAAATAGAGTTTATTGGGGTGGGAGGTATTAAACCACCGACATATGAAATAAAATCCAGAATTGTTACCTCTTTTCCTCATTTCTGTGAATGAAAATAATTTCAATCTTATCAAAATACTAATTAAGATTTGATGTCATGGGTTTAGCTGCAAAGAAAAATTATACCTCAAGAACTAAAATTATTTAGTTTTTGCAAGTACATAAGGATTATGAAATGTGAATATGAAATATTTTTTATTTACCATTCTAAGTTTTTATGGCTTTTCTAGGAAATAACTAGCGTCTCTAGAAAGGGATTTTTTGGCTTCAGATATACTGCATGTTTAATATTTCCAAGAAAATTGTCATTTCTCTTCTTTTAGAGAATTTCTGAAAGTGAATATATTAAACATAATACTTTTTTATACCTAGTCATTCTTTAACATTATTTAAAATGCTTCATGCTAAAATTGTAATTTCCTCATTCATTGACCTAAACATAATTTAATTTCAAGTTTGGCCAGTTTCTGGATGAATACATTCTGGAAAATTAGTTCACTTCTCAAGGTTTCACTTCTCTCATCTCTAAAGTAGAAAAATGAAACAGAACTTGCAGAGTTCTTGTGAACAAAAGAAGGGTAGGAAGGACACCGGTAGCAGTGTACTAGAATAAACAATGGTATTGCCCCTTGTGATGGTCGTGGTGGTAGCTTCGGGTCTGTTCTTCATAATCCACCAGCAATCCCCACAAGCCCCAGTGAGATCCATGTCATCTCGTAGTCTTTGATCACAACCAGCCCTGTGACAAGTACGAACCGCTGTGAAAGGAATTCAGAGACAGGTCATGTGTCTTCCCTTCTGCTAAGCTATTTGTTATTGCTATCAGCTGTAATGTCCAGCTTTTGTTCAATCATGAGAAGCAAACATCAGGTCAATAAATGAGGAAAATGCAATATTAGAATAAACCACTTTAAACACTATTAAAGAATGTCTAGGTACAAAAAGCTCAATGTACTTTATTACCACCTCCAGGTGCCTGTATTTTCTCTAAAATGTGGTCTTCTTGGAGAAATGTATTTCTTACTGAAAGGTACTGACTATGTGTTATCTTGAGTTTATCTCACTTATTGGAGGATCTTTCTTCATACCATATAATTCCCCAGTTTTAAAATTCATCAAAATAGTTATTTTCAAAACATATGAATGGTATGTTTTCCAAAATTATGGTGTAACTTTTTTTTATTTTACTGACCTAAAGCTTATGAAAAGATCAAATTAAATTTAGTGACATCAGACTTCTTATTTTGCTGTCATTTGTGAACATTGTAAACATTAATATCTATGTATGGAAAAAATTTGGAGAATATGTAATTATTTAATTTGTATCTGTATTAGTTTGAAGTTAAAAGAATACTTTTTTCTTCTGAATGTAGTTGGTTGTTACAGGGTCTCACTATGCAGCTCAGACTCCTGCTCATCCTCCTGCTTTCAACCTCACCAGCGCTAGGATTACAGGCTTGCGCCACTACACTGGACTCCGTCGCCAGCTCCGCCCACCCTGGGGTGGGGCTGGCTCAGCATGTGGTGCTGGGGATCGAACCGCGGTCCCTGAGATTGCCTAAGCAGGTGCTTTAGTCCCCTGAGCTATCTCATTTTTTTTCCCCCCTTAAGAAAATTGTAGGGAAATAAACACAGAGTTATCTTAGGCATTTAATTTGAGAATTTATTGATTATATTATTTTACATCTCCATTATATTGTTTTCTTGTACTTTTACTTTTTGATCTATATTTATATTCAACCTATTCGGTGCTCTCTCTATGGCTCCTTGGAATCAGCAACACACTGCTCACATATGATAAATAAGTTATTCAGTTTCTGCATGTGTGCTTATTTTAAGCAGAAAAGTTCTGCTTAAAATAAGACATAGCTAAGCATTAAGAAGTGATTGAATTTGGAATAAGAAAGGGAGGCAACAAGGACCAAAACGCACAACTGATATTACAAAATGGGAAGAAATCGTTCAAAATGAAGGAGGAACTAGGAGAAGGGAAAGGATGGATGGGAAAAGGAAAACCTGGAAATGGCTTTGTAAATATCAAGGGAAAGATGGGCGGCCGAAGGATAAGTGGAGGTTGGGGGAAAATGGATCAGAATATATCACATATGGGGACAAATTCCCTATGATGAATATGATCATTGTGTGTGTGTAGCTAAACTGTACCAAGACACTTAATAAAAGTAAATAAACATTCAAAAGAAACAAACAAAAAGAATTAAATGGCAGGGATAAACCAATAAGCGTGAAGGTAGATGGATATAAACTAACCCATTATAAAGAAGAGGGAAAAATTGATTTTTAAAAATGGGAAGATCTTCAGGGTCTTAGGAGAGAATGTATAAAATGTAAAATGTACACTTGAATATGTAGAAAAATATACTTTTTAAATGTAAAGAAGTTACTGAATTTTTACAACTATTGAAACAATAAGCAACACAGTGATTTACATAGTCAATAATTATATGATTATATGTATTTAAAATCAATTTTTTTGGTATTTCAAGCCTATCATATTTGAAGGGAGCAGGGTATGTGCTGTTATGGTCAATAAAGGTAAGTAATCCATATATTTGTTCTTTCAGGTGGTTTTGCTTACCTGAGGATATGTATATGTTATAGTTGCTTGGGTTCCAATCTAATAATTGTGCACATACATGATTATTAATGATACTGTGAGTATCAGATTTTGATTTTAACAATTATAACACCATCTTAATGGCACTTTGTGATAATATTTTAAAGGAAATAAAAATTAAAGGATATCTATCTATCAAACTTTTATCTACAATGCATTATCAACAATTAACTATAATGGTTTCCTCCTAGCCACTGTTTTGCTTTCTGAGATTTCAGTTACCTGTGGTCAACTGCCTTCCAAAAATAGTACATGGAAAATTCCAGAAAAGAATGATCCATAATTTTAAATTGTCCATCATTCTATCTATTGCCCATGTTTGCCTGAGCAAGATTAAAATCACCCTTTTATCTAGTGTAATGACACAGTATATGCTACCCATCCATTAGATACTTATTATCAAACATTGTGTAATACTAGGATCATACTCAGAATGCCTGTCATTCTGGTCTTCTAAACATGTACTGCTTCTAATGTCAGATCAATTACTGCTCTACTGTCTCTCAAGAAAGTGTTTGTTTTAAAAAAGAGGGGTAATTAATAAAAACACGAGACAAGAAAAAAATGTCATACAACTGTCCTGCTACAACGCTGCATATGGTTAGATTTCTAAATTTCTGTGTAAAAATATGTAATTGTTTATTTCTATTTTTAAAATATTTTTTTATTTTTAATTTTTTCTTTGCATTATGTAGGGATTTAAAGTTTAACATATCAATACTTGATGGAAAATATCTGTTTCATGTTATGTCTAAGATGTTTGATATTCAGACAAATATGAGGTTAAGCTCAACTGCCTATGTTATAGGGTAATGACACCATTAAGCTTTTCTTCTGGAGGGTTAACAACTGAAGTTTGCAGACCAAAAAATTAAACAAAAAGAAGGGCTATAAGGACAGCCAACATTTTGGCCCTAACCATCCAAGATCAGTGAGGATTCTGGACATAAGAGAACCTGTACTGTAACATCCTGTAACTCAGTGGTATCCCAAATTTTCTGATCAAGGAGATTATGGGGCCACAGAGGAAAGCGATCAATGATGTATAATGCACCTAAGGAGAGTCACCTAGAGAGAAAACATTCTGTCAGGCTTTCACAGAGAGCAAATTGGTCAAGCAATTGCCATGACTCATCCACAGGGCTGAAAATGACAAAGGAACTACAAACTTCTGTATAGAGTTCCAGAGTAAATCCTCAGGGGATTTGACTGACCTTGTCAGATACAAAAGTTACACATCTTGTTATGTAGGTCTTGCTTTATCTTGGTCTTAACCATCCAGCAGAAAAGTATCAAAACAAGGTATAAAAAGTAAAGCCATATTAATATGCTGAGCTATAAAAGGCTCAAGTCAACAACTTCTGATGTTGCAAGTCCTATGGATAACCCACTACTACTATGGTCTACTGGACTATATTGGATTATTTTGCTAAATTCACGCACCTACAATGTTTAACTGGCAATGGAATACCCATCTCTGACAAAACTAAATAAAAAAGGGGGATATAAATGAAGGATATTTTGTATATACATATATCTGTATGTACAAAATATTTAGGATAGATATACTGCTACTTTCTTTTAATTCAGTGAGAAGAAAGATTTATAATAATAGTGTTTGGACAGGACATCATCCTGTAACTCAGTGATGTCCCAAGTTTTCTGATCAAGGAAATCAAGGAAAAAATTTCTCTCAGGTTTTCACAGAGAGCAAACTGATCAAGCAATGGCCATGACACATCCAGATGGCTGACACTGACAATGGATTTACAAGGCGATATACATGGTATCAAGGTAAATCCTGAGGACATTTGACTGACCTTGTCAGATACAAAAATTGCACTTTTAGGTATATACAACTTGCTTTAACTTGGTCTTAACCATCCCGCAGGAAAGTATAACCACGAGGTGCAAAAGTAATGCCATATTGATATGCTGAGCTATAAAAGGCTCAAGTCAACAACTTCTGCCAATTGCCAGTTCTGCTGATAACCCAGCACTATTATGGAGTATTGGACTATATTGGATCATTTTGATGAATTCAAGCACCTACAATCTTTAAATTGGCTTCAAGTATGTAAAGGTCCTTTAAGGACTTATCCAAACAAATATAGCTTCTCTAACTTTATATGAGTTAGGAACCCCCATCTCTGACAAAACAAAACAGAAAAGAGGGACATAAATAAATTACTTTTGTAGTGAAAAAATATGTATATACAAGATAAGATAAATATACACCTACTTTCTCTAGGTTCAACAAGAATACAGGTTTGTACTAATATTGTTTAGACAAGATATCATGTCTACATCTTGTCCTCTGAATAATCACATGAAGACAATAATGTACAATGTATTAATTATTGTACCTGTCATACTGATCTGTTTTGAAACTGTTTCATTGCTATTTTATCTTTTTTCTCATTAAAATGAATAAAAGATAAAAAGAATGCCAAAAAGGATTCTTATTATCTAGCTTGTTATCAGATCAACTGTCTCAAGTTTGCAGGACTTGTGTTCAAATAATGCTTATTTTCTTTAACAATGATTTCAAAGTGCTGGAGTAGGGACATTGTCCATTTTATTACACTATATATTTAATAATTGCTCTACTTTATTATTGTTAATCTCTTACTGTGCCTAATTCATGCATTCAACTTTCCCAGAAGTATGTCTGTATAGGGAAAAATACAGCATATGTAGAATTTGGTACTACTGTGGTTTTGACTACCCACTGTAAATCTAAGAAATACCCCTGAGGTTAAAAAGGAGCTAGTATATTATTATGAGATTACATCTTTCTGCTTTATCATCTGCCAAACCAATGATGATAGATTTATCATTATTGAGAATTACTAATATTTTATGGACAATAATCACAGTCATTCTTTTTTTTCTGAAGTTTATACATCAAAACATAATGACTATTTTCAAACTGAGATATCAATACAGGAAACTAGAGAAATTCATTTATGTCTTCCAGTAGCACTGCGCACTGCCAATTTAGGAAGTGATATTAAAAAACCTGATCTGTTCTTCTCTCCATATGTTTATGTATACACACACTTAAGTCATTGTAACTGCACATATCTTTGCACAGGACACCCATTAGCAGCTTACACACATACACACACACACACACACACACACACACACACCTGCATGTGAAGAGAGTGTAAGTTTATCCAGTACTTCAGACTAAATTCAGTTTCACTTAGATACATGGTAGTCCCAGTCAAAGATAAAAAACATTTTCTTTTCAATTTAATTAAATATACTCAGCTTACTATGAAGCTGTCTTTATCCACTAATGAAGAAATTACTGCCTGCATGCCACACATAAACATGTACATACATACATATGCACAGATGTATAGTTGCTAGCCAAAAGTCTTCACTCTCTTTAATTAATTATTGAACTTAAGTTTTAGGAATTAATGTATAATAAATGAATACACTTACCTCTCCTGTTGTCTGAAGAACTAGTTTTAGTTCATTCACCGAATCTGTAATTTGTTCGGTTTCAACACATCCAAGGATACCGCATAGATTTTTAACTTCTTCTATAATATTATTGACATATTGCTGTAGATGACAAGATTCACACATTACTGTGTGTTAAAAACTATAGCATGCTAATTTATCTTCAAATTACCTCTCTTTCCTCAGAAGGAAATGGAATAAAATGCAGTTGACTGTTTGCACGTGAAACATCCTCCAAACCCTGGTTAGCCTGTGATCTACACAGCAAATTACATTGAGTGAATGCTCAAAGGAAGAATTAACTCAACACTAATTTATTCACTTTATTCAGTTTTTAACTCAGTTCTAACATGACATTAATTGAAACAAAATATGGCCAAGGGAGAATTAGAGAGAGGAAAAGGAAAATAAAGAGGAAGAAAAAGATACAGACTCATAACACAAAATATTTTAAGTCTGCTTATTATTTACCATTTTATTAATGACACGTTATCAATATGAAAAGAAGACATTAGTTTTACACAAATAGAACACTATTTCTCTTTCTGGAAAAGTCGTATCTCTAAAAACATTAGGAAAGCTCTTATGTGATTATGCAAAGACTGAAAATTTATGACAAAATTTTGGGTAGAGTAACTAATGCTACAAAAGACAAAATAGATTTCAAAGCTATCAACAGAGTTGATCATGAAGATATAACTTAAGATGCATTTTTATGTTTTGACAAATTAAGAATATGCAGCTACTCACTATAATGTAGAGAAGAAAAATCCCCAAATAATCCCTCTAGAAAACAGTCATTTATGTTTGAAGTGTGATGTGGCTACCAGAAAGTAGACTTCACTAATAAAATAAATCAAATGGCATATAAATTCAGTAACTAGGAAGTTACAAGTTTATCACATTTTAAATGTATGTCATCTATACTGGAGCTTAGTTTTTGGTATCATAGTTGGGCACTGACTTGATGGATTGGATTTTTCCAAAGAAGATTGTCAGGGTCAGGAAGATATCTCAGCAGACTAAGCACCTGCTTTGGCAAGAGCATGGACCAAGATTTGATCCCCTGTCCCACATGAGACCTTGTGTCAAATACATAAAAAAATGAAAGAAAGAAAAAAGATCATCTTGGTTACTTTTCTCTCATTGTTGGGACAAAATACCGTACACCCAAAACTAAGGAAGGAAAGGTTTATTTAGCTCACACCTATTGGAGGCTGGCACACAGCAGAGGACAGTAGTTCATGGAGGTGGAATACAGCAAAGGGCAAAGGGAGGAGCAGCAGCTTCGGCAGCTAGCAAGCGTCTTTTCCTTCCTTACATTGTATGCAGATTTCCCATACCAGGGTGGGTGTAGCACTCACATCTGTAATCCCAGTATTGGATCATGAATTCATCACAATCTCTAGAAGTCTCCCCAATGACTGTATGAGGCACTGGGGGACAACTAGGCTCAAATCATAACAAAGATCAAACCCGCTGTTAATATACTGTAAATATACTCATTCATTGACAACAGAACAGCAGTCAATATTTTAAGCTCTGTGATCAGGTTGCATGTATTTAAATCCTGGCTTTTGTTTCTTCCTATGACCATCATTAGCATATTTAACTTCTATGTACCTAAGTTCTCTCTTCAAAGAGGTAGGACTGATAATAACTAATTGTAAGTTTGGCATAAATATTGAATGACATGAACTATGAATAAGTAGCCAGCAGAGAATAATGGCTAAATTTAGTATTGAGCAATTAATGTTTAGTCATTCACACAGTAAGATAACTCAGTTTGTAAGAGAAATGAGATATGCCAAAATACAGTTAGATAATAAAATAACTAAAAAGTCATAAATAAGATACAAATGAGTTGCTATGCTTGATTTCATTTGTGTATTCTAATCTGGTATGGGGTACATATGAATTTGTGAAAATCCAGAAATATTACTAATTAAAATGTAGATGCTAATTTAGCTTGGGTCTTTAAGTAGCTGGTTGTTAATTTACTGAATCTATTATACCAGTCTTACAGTATTTCTTATCTGATTTATTTGCTCACTTAATATTCACAAAATTCTAAAAGATTCATACTATATCCATTATATCAATGAGTTATTGAGCTTGTTTAGGATATTTTAATCAAAGTGTTGCAATTATAAAATTAACCTGGTGATCAATTGGATATGGAGCACCAATAGGAAGGTGGGATTTAATGTGATTCTGCTGCTTCATATTTGGGAAACCAAGACCATGTCAAGGCATTATTATGGAAGAAATACGGACACAAAGGAGAGTTTTAGTAGGATTGTGATGCATACGTTTTTGATACACAGAGCTTTAGCTGTACAGGAGAAGTGCAGGAGACCTTAACTCTGACAACTGCTGGAAGTGAAACATAGATAGATAACCTATACACAGACATGCATACAAAAAGACACATGCATACACTCTCACACACATTGCATATTTATACAAACACTAGATGAGATAATTTTTCAGGCAAAGAATACATATAACCGCACAGTTTAGCCTAAGCAAAGAGCTGCTAGCTTTCTAGGTGACAGAAGTTTAGAGGGAACTTGAAGCCTGGCAGCAGCTCCACCACTTGTGCTGTTATGGCCCGAGGAAAATATCAGGCTGGATTTAGGTCTTCAGGCTTAAGCATTAGTATCTATTGCTCACATTGGAACACATGCTGTTATATTAGGCCTAAACCCATTGGAAGAGGTAAAGGAAAGAGTAGAATGGGCTAAGATCCCTGAATAATCCCCAGGTATGGATTGTCACCTATAAAAGATCGCAAAAGAAAACTAAGCCAAGTGACTGCGAGAACCTGGGAGAAAGTCCTGCTCTGTCCAGAGTCTGATATACCGGGAAAGTGATTCATCGGGAAATTGAAATCCTCATGTTTGTTGTGGGCATCTGCGGAGCATTAATTTGCATGACCTATGGTGGGAATTTTTGTTCAAAGTTCCAGTACACTAATCTCACTATTTTGGATCTAAGCAGTTGCAGATGGGAATGTTCAGTATAGAAATACTTGTCTAACCCTAAGTCACAGTTTGCCCCCAAATGCACATGCAGATACACATATGTGTACACATATGCACATATAGTACAGTAAGAAGGAAAGATCAGCTTGAAACCGACAGGCCTGAGACAGCTGATTCCATTATGAGAAACTCTAGTGGCTCAATGCAGTGGAAATTTTCACTATTTCAAGAAATAAAAAAAGGCAGATTTGGGCATTATTTTCATAGACAAAGTATGTAGCCAGAATTTGAAGATGACTATCCTGAGTAAAAATACAAATGAAAGAAAGAAAAATTGAAAACTGGGTACATAACATTTTAAAACATCTCATATTTCAGTAAAGGAAAAGAAAGTTTGGATCATAGATGAAAATGCCAGGTGTGGGATCCAGAGTACTGGCTAGTAAATGGACCTGATCTAAAGGGAGCTGATGGGATGGGAATTTTCAAGGTGGAATAAAAAAGAAAAATGAGAGTTGGCCAGATAGCTCAGTGGAGTAAAACACCTGCAAGCAGGCACAGGGCTCAGGGGTTCAATCCCCTGGCCTGCCCTGTCAGCCCTGCCCCCAAGGTGCGCTGAGAGAGTGATTGAGAGTGGGTGTGGTGGTGCACGCCTGTAATCCCAGCTCTTGAGAGGCTGCAAACAGGCAGATCACTGCAAGTCTGATCTAGTAGTGAGACCTTGAACACCCTGTAGACCCTTCTCTAAAAAGTACAAAAGAAGAAGAAAGGAAGAAAAGAAAAATGATACATGATAACCATTTTCAAGTATTTTGTAATCTTTCAGGAGGAAAATGCATTTGTTTTGCTACAAAATGATAAATTAGAGCAAAGGGGTACATATTTAAAGAGGTTTGTGGTGTGTGGGGGCCCAAGCCCAGAAGGGAGGGACTGAGGCAGAAGGATGGCTAGCCCAAGGCCAGCCTGAGCTCCTGTCTCAAAACAAGAAAAAAGGGTTCACTTTGGCAGAAATTTATAAACAATATTTGTTAATATTATTTCTTCAAAACTTGAGTAGGATGTCCTTGAGTAGAGAATTCTTCCACGTCCAAGAATATGTGCAATCAAGAATTACTGTGCTGAGTGTTTGAATTAAATTCTGTCTGAGTTGTTTAGTTAATAAAATTGAAATCTATTACATGATATTTTGTATGCTACAAACCAAGCTTATCTTAGAAAATATTTCATGTATTATAGACTTCGCAAGAATACTGATTGTTAGGCGTCAAGCATACCTGACAAGTATTTTGAATGCTGGCAAAGTTTAGTGCCAATCTTTTCTTCACTGCATCTTCCTGGAAAACAAAAGACACACCAAAAGTTTCATTTAGCTGGTATGGAGACTAAAGTAATATGCATTTAAACAGCCATGTAACAGCTTACCATCTTCTGGAATTCACATAAACTTTAATGAATTTCTATTTTTATATCCAGACTGAAAATCAGCAAATTCAATTAAAGTCTTTGGAGACAAATCATGAATTCAGAATGTTTTTCATTTCATATGCAATAGTACTGCTATCATTAAGTTTTGAAAATGATTGATATAGTCTTGGAGTTACAGTTTATTTTAAAATGTGAATCCCATTATAAGAATTTAAAAAGCCAAATAGTACACCAAGTAACATCTTTTTTTAAATCCTAGTAGAAAGTTTAGGTCATACTTTAAAGCAAGTGAAGTGAATTAATTAGAGAATGACAGGTCTGTCTTCCAAAGAGAGATGGCGTGCACAAAGTGTCAGTCTTTGCTAGAGTGAAGAAGAAAGAGAACACTATCATGTAAATGGGTAAGAAGAAATCAGAAGATAATTTCAAAATTCTCATAATCCAGAGGCCAAAGAGATGGCTCAATAGAATAAGCACTTCCCTGGCAAGAGCAAGGGTCTGAGTTCAATCCCCGGTTCCACCAAAAAAATAAAAATAAAAATAAAAAATAAAATTCTCATAATCCAGATTTGAACTAGCATGTCAACTTGGAACACTCATGAGCCCTAAACACAGGGAAATTTAAAAGCAAATGCAAGTCGTTTTCTTTGAGACCTAGTAGTGTTTGTGGGGGAGACACAGAAGGCAGTGAACAAACTGATGGATGGTCCATTTGGTGGTGCCTGTAATCTGCCACTTGTGGAAGAGAAGCCCAAAGCCCTGTCCTCTTTCTTTTCTTTTTCTTTTTAAATTAATTTATTGAGAAACAAATAGCAATGAGAACAACTTTTTCTTGTCACATTTATTACCCTTTTTTTTAGACAAACTACTGGAGAGACAGTATAGCAGTAATTGATATGACATTAGAAGCCCCATCTCTGACAAACCTAAACAAAAGAGGGGATATAGATGAAAGACCATATTGTAGTGAGATATATATATATATATATATATATATATATCTGTATATACAAAATAGGATAGACATACAGCTACTTTCTCTTAATTCAATGAGAAGAAAGATTTGTTAGTAGTTTCAAAACAGGTCAGTAGGACAGTTACAATATTGAATACATTGCATATTGTTGTCTTCTTAGTAGTTATTCTTAGTACAAGATGCAGACATGATATCTTGCCCAAACAGTATTAATACAAACCTTTCTTCTTATTGAATTAGGAGAAAGTAGTTGTATATTTATCCTAACTATTTTGTATATCTATCTATCTATCTATCTATCTATCTATCTATCTATCACTACAATATGGTCTTTCATTTATATCCCCCTTTTTGTTTAGTTTTGTCAGAGATGGGGCTTCTAATGTCATATCAATTACTGCTATGCTGTTTTTCAATTAGTTTAGTTTTTTTTTTTTAAAGGGTAATAAATGTGACAAGAAAAAAATTGTTGTAGAACTAGCCTACAATATTTAAATGGCCCTGTCCACTTTCTATGGATACTTCTCTCATAAAAAGTGAAAGTCTTACACTGTGAAGAAAAGCATCAGAAAATTCTCCATTGCTTTGAGGTCAGGAAACAATTCTTTGCTTCAGGGACAGGTAAAGAAAGCAAATAACTGCTATGGGGGAAGAAGTAGGAAGCAGGGGACCGCCCTCTGCTGGTGAGGGAAGAGCAGAGGCAAAAATCCTGCCACACATGGAAAACTCCATCTTGGGTCCATAATCTCACTTAGATGCCAGGAAGGGCAAGAAATTGTGGTGTGCAGGACTCATACCACAGATATAAGGCAGAGTTTGACTGTCAGGTGTAGGAGGGACACAAGGGCTCAGAAAGTCTCAGTCTGAGGCTCAGGAATATAGTGTCTCCCTGAGGTTGTGGTGGGATTATTACAATGCAAAACTCTCTTGACTCCACCATGAAATGAGTCTATCATTCAGTAATGCACAAGACCAGTGTATGGCTAGGAGTGGGAAAAAGTACTGAGATAAATACTGTCTGTGGCACAGGCAGGGACTTTTGTAAGCTGGAGTTACGGTGGCAACACTGTGAAATTCCCCTTCCTCTTACCTAGACAGCACCAACCAACCCTACAGAGTGAGAGAGCAACAGAAGAAAACTGATCATTTTCAGGCACGCATAGAACTTTGCTTGGTCTTTAGCACTGGTCTACACCTGATGTCTGGTAGCCAATCAACAATTAAAGTCTATCCCAACCAGCTAGATAATACAAGTTTTGTTAATAGGTAAAACCAGCCTATGGGAAATGACCCCGATGCTTGTTGTGTCAGAAGTGGACTTAAGGTATCTCTAATATGTCACAGGCTCTAATGGGAAATATAGACTGTATGCATGAATACATGGAGGATTCAGTACAGAACACAAACAGAGTCAAATGGAAATGAAAGAAAAATGAAATGTACATGATGTACAGGTGAAAAATTTCTTCAAGGGCTTATCAGTAGAATGAACACAGCTAAAGTGAATGTCAATGAAATTAAAGATAGATCAAGAGAAGTTATCCTAAGTGAAGCATAAAGGTAGGAAAAAGTGTGTGGCTGGGTGAGAGATGCCGGGAAACAAAATTCAAAAGAATCATTTATTTAACTAGGCTTCTGGAAAGATAAGGTTAGGACAAATAGATACTTGTGCAGAAAAAGGCTAACATATCAAAGTGTGACATGCTGCTAAAACTCAGAGGGCAATTTTTGGCTCTAAAATTTAGGAAAAAAATGAATAGTTCAGTGTCAATTTAAAAACTGAATTTATACTTAAAATACTTCCTGCAAGAAGAGCTCCAGATTAGTTTCATTAGTGAGTAAAATGGCTTCAGGAAGCGATATAATCAAATCTACTCAAATTCTTACAGAGTAGAGAGGAAGAGAAAACACTTCCCAATCTATTTTAAGAGACCAGTATTCACTGTGCTAAACTATCATTTAATTAAAGCTAGATATGTATGGAAAACACTACAAAATCTTAGCAAATATAATTTATTCCAGTAACGCCTACTTTTGTATATTTGAAAAGTATAAGAGACAAAAATTATGCAAAGCAATGTCATCCATTTAAGAAATGCGCAATAGTAGAAGGAAACGTTTACATCCCATGAAAGGCAACTAACTTCATATCATAACTACGTTACCTCTGCAATTGTGTACTATTAGCAAAAGACTATAACTTTCTACAAATAACAAGTCTATTTTTAACACTTGTAGTAAAATTGTTCTGGGGATTTTAACAAGTGTTTAATAACAAATAAAAGTCCTCTTATTGGAGAGAAAGGCAAGATATTTCAGAAATGGACTAACTTTTATAAATAGGCACTTTGATTTATGAAGACGGAAGAACAGAAGAAGGGTGTAGAACTTGATCTACATATATGTAACTAATCGCTTTTGCGGTGTTGCTAAGATTCTGCAGCAGAGAACAGATATCATTTTAAATAAATTTTCAGGGATAAATGGTTATCCACTTTGAAAAGCAAAACAGAACAAAACAAAAAGACTTGAGGATTGCCTCTTAACCACACAGAAAGTCTCTTGAAGTGGATAGTAGAATTAACTACCAGCTGCAACTACTTGCCATTTAACAAACTGGAGGAAACTTACGCAAAACTGAGCAAGCAAATTTTCATTAAATGGTATGAAAAAGAAAAGACTATACAATAAAAAATTAAAATAGGATTTTGTAAAATTAAAATCTTGAGCTTCTTAAATGGCACATAAGTAAAAGAGGCAAGCAAAAAAGAAAATACAGTTTGGGAGAAAAATATGTTTAGCATACATGTCACATACCTCACAATGACCTTTTGTCTAGGATGTAGAAGGGCTTTTGTAAGTGCATAACGGCAGGATTTATAATTCAGCTTTAAAAATGAGCAAACCATTTCAACACACACTTGATACTATATCTTCTTTTAGATACATGAATGGCCATGAATCACTTGAACAGTAATTCAACATCTTTAGTGATTAAGGAAATGGAAATCTAAAACAAGGAAATTTGCTTTGTATCTGAATGGGTAAAATTAGAGCACTAATTGCAACTCATGTTGGGATATAGAACAACGGGGACTCTTGCACTGTACATGTGATTCTAGTCATTCAAGATTCTCTAAAAGACATGCAAAATGAAAGACAATAAATCTCGGTTGCATGAGATCTAAGTATGGGAGGAATTTACTACTCAAAGAGCTTTGTGTACATCTTGGTGTAATGAAAATATTTTACGTGTTGACTCTAGTCATAGTTATATAGGTATCATATTTTCAAATTTAGCCCAACTATCCATATAATAAGGGTACGTTTTACTTTATACAAATTGAACTTTGGGAAAGTGATGTCATAAATAAGATATCAGAATGAAGGCAAAAAGATAAACCATTAACTGGAAAGCTATATTAATAACAGACATAACTGAAAGAAGCAAGTATATGCAGTATGCCCATCAATCTGTTGACAAGATTAAAATGGAAGATGAACGAATGTAAATTACAAAAGAGAGAAATTGAAACTCGCCTTTTTTTTTAAACAGTAAACACTCTGGTGAAGATACTTGGGTCTAAAGAGCACCTATCCTTACAAGAGAGAGGAATTCAAGTGGAACAAGGAAGATCCTGTGATAATAATGACATTTTATTCCTTAACTGATTGTTGAAGAAAAGTACCTACTATATCCTTATCCTAAAACTTATACGTGTTATTATATGTTCTTGAAAAATTATATAATTCACAATACAAGCTCCAAGTAGGGTGACTGATACTATTATTTCTTTCCATAAAGCCCTCTAGTACCCTCTATTTCATTAGGAACCTAAATTCATGAAACTGATTATGTTCCATTTTGAAGATCGACTTTAACTTCTCATTTTTTTTTTTATCCTTTTGCAATTTTGGAGTATTCCATAGATA